TAATTATATTAGATTTTTCATATATATATATATATATATAATTGTCTCTTTTTTTCTATTTTTTAAATTATTATATTTTTATATTTTTCTCTCTCTTTATATATGTATATATTATTATAGATCTAGATCTATATATTTATATTTATATATATTATCAGATTTGTAGCAGGCCTGAGCTGCGTGCATCTCTCATCTGAGGTGCTGACAGTTACTGTGAGATGAATAAATGCGAAAGGACTTATATCACCACTAGGACGGACACTCAAACCACAGAAGAGAAGCCCACGGGCTGCATGCAGTGACCTTTGTCAGTTTGTGTGCGAGTGGCTGACGGGATGCCCACGCCGCTCTGGTGACCCCCACTGACTGGAATTGAACCCTATGTAGGGAACACGCTTCTGACCGGTTGTTTCCCAGTCCATTTTGTTCTTCTCACAAACACATTGTGACCACATCAGTCTAAACTGCAGTGATACTGTATCCCGCAAGCATTCTTGTGGGTCCGGGGCGGAAAAGCAGCAGCTATTTTGTTTTTGTTTTATTAAAGCCAAAATGTTGCTCTTCTGTCAGCCGTGTACTTTCTCCTTGAGTGCAATCACGTAAACAATCATTTCCCCGAAAGAAATCATCGCATTTGTAGCGCTAATGTGCGGCTGTGTGTTAACAGCATGAAGCTCGGGTTACTAATTAGAGGCCGAAGGCTCCTCAAACTAGTGACATGCATGTCGCTCCCTATGTAGTCATCTAGTCTTTTTCCCTTCATGATTTATTTACTCACTACACTATTAATATTAAATGAACAAATCCCGGTGCTGTGACACTCACGGGACGACTGACAGCTGTGGGAGTGGGTTGCTCATAGTCACACGTCCGTTAATCGTCCTGGGCTCGTCTACGCAGCGCTGCCGTCCTGCCAGGTCGAATCAGACCTCGCGCTGCCGCCCGAATCTTTTAAGGCCCATGAAGGGGTCTGCATCCTTTGTCACGCTCACAAGACATTGTTCTGACAGGGCCGGTGAGCGCTGATCTTTCCCTGTGCTGAGGTGGTGGGGGGCGTTGAGGGGAGATTATGGGCTATTTCTGTGGCACTTTGGGCCTGTTTGCGACCAACGAGCCAGACTAGCGGCTAATGAGAGAAGACAACTGACAGGTTCAGTGGAGGCTGTGAAGCAAGAGGAAATGGCAGGGAGTCACATGGCCTTTTTAGGCAGAAAGCGAGTGATTGAGAGTCTGGCTTTCGCTTTGTTTTTGAGTTCAGTAGTACAGAAATGATTCCTTCCAAAATTAAACTTCTGTCATCATTTACTCGTCAATCTGAGATATGAAAGAGTAATGTGAGCAATAAATGCTTCCTCTATAAGTTGAGAAAAGCCTGATAAAAGTTGATCATTATTGCTTCTATTTGAATATTTGCATTTATTCTTTTAGCAGGCACTTTTATCCATAGCGACTTACAAATAGAAATACAAGCAATTCATCTTAAAATGAAACATGTAAATGTATCTAAATTAAAATGAATATATTTACATATAGTAATTATTTAATTTTGTTATTTTTTCTTACATGTTCTCATTGACAAACAGAGAGAGATTATTTAATTAAATTTTAATTTTAATTTTACCAGGAACTAAATATAAGA